AATACTTTATAGCATAATAAAGGGTACTATTAAGTGCTTCAAATAGTATCTAACACTGTTTTCAATACTTGTTCTTAAAGAGAGTTCTATTAAATACTTCGAATAGTGTCGAAACGTACATACAATATTTTGTATGACGGGAAAGTAATATAAAGTACTTCAAGATCTATCCAAAATTACTTCGAACACTTTATGTCATAAAAAAGTACTATTAATTAATTGAACAAGTATCAAAAATTATTCAGAATTCTTAAGCAAACTGGAAAGTAATATTAATTATTTTCAAATAGTGTTGAAAAGTACATAAAATACTTTTTATGCAGGGATAGTAATATAAAGTACTTCTAACACTTTATGTTATACAGAATAAGTACAATTGAGGAATGAAAAGAAGTATCAGCAGGTACTTTCAACATGTTGATTGACAGGAAAGTTTTGTTAAACACTTCAGATTATCAAAAGATGCATTTAACACTTTCTCCTAGACCAAGTAACGAGGCAATAAAGTCTTAGGATCTGAAGTCTGATTTTTTATGATTTTGTAACATCTGATAGAAACCGTACGAGTAATTTTGATGTGTGCTAAATTAGATTAAGTCTCCATGTCAGATTCTTCCAAGATCATTTTAACTAATGACTCAAAAGAGTTGGCATAAATTCAAAAAAGTTAATTTGCTTTCCTGTAAATTTTGTGTCAACGCCTATGGAGCATTAATGATGCGTACGATCTGGCAAGAATTGTACATCGAGCATTAAGGTAAATGTTGCAGAGACAAAAATTTCTCGTACAATATTCGTCTGGTACTGCAAGAGCATGCACAATCAATGATGCAAACTTACAGTCTAAAGGCTTGATTCGTGTTTTAAACAGGTGCTATTAAGCTCTTCAACAAGTATCCACAATTACTTTCAATACTGTATCTAATAAGAAAGCACTATGAATCACTTTGATTAATATTTACCAGTACTTCGAAAATTTGGGTTGTAGAAAAGTACTATTAAGTACCTCCAATAGTACCGTAAAGTATTTCCAATACTTAGCATGGCAGGAAAATACTGTTAAGTACGTTTCATGATATCGAAAAGTACTTTTTATACTTTATTTTCTATAAAATTAGTATTAAGTACATGAAATAGTGTCTCAAAGTACTTTCAATACTTTATTTTCAGAGTAATTACTACAAAGTACTTCCAAAAGTGTGAAAAGGGAATTTCAATACTTTTTGTTACAAAAAGGTACTGTTAAGTACATTTAAAAGTGGAAAAGTGTGGAAAAGTACTTTCGAAAGTAGCAAATAGTAGCAAAAAGTGACTTTTTTTCACTTTATTTTATATTGAAAGTACTTAAAATGAAAATTTCCTACTTTTTTTTTACATGGGTTAACCTGAGTGTCATAAGCATGTACTATGAAGTTCTTCAAAACGTATCAACAATTACTTTCAACACGTTATCAAATAAGAAAGTAGTTTGAGCTACTTCAATAAGTATTCAAAAGTACTTTAAAAAATTGCGTCATAAAGAAGTACTATTAATTACTGTAAATTATGTCGAAAAGTAGTTCCAACACTTTGTGTGACACAAAAGTATCATTAAGTACTTCATTTAATACGGAAAAGTACTTTGTATTCTTTATACAAACGGAAGTACTAATAAGTATTTTTAAAAGTATCAAAAGTTATTCTCAATACTTTTTGTCAGGACAAAGTACTGTTAAGTACTTTCAAAAGTGGAAAAATATATTAAAGTACATTTTAAAGTGTCAAAAGTTACTTTAAATACTTTTTGTTAGAAAAAAGTACTATTAAGTACTTTTAAAAGTAGAAAAGTATGTAAAAGTACTTTCAAAAGTGAAAAAGTATGAAAAAGTACTTTCGAAAGGTAGAAAAGTATGTAAAAGTACTTTCAAAGGTGGGAAATAGTTGTGAAAAGTGACTTTTTTTTACTTTATTAATATGCAAAGTACTTAAAAGTGAAAATTTTCTACTTTTTTTTTACATGGGTGTCATGCATTTTACATACATTTGAATAAAAAACAGTTACACAGGAGAAATCAAGGATTACCTTTCATTTTTTTTTGTGAAGAGTATAGTGTAACGTGAAAACGCCTTTTTTTCTTTAATAGAATGACAAGTATAAACTGTACTACACATATTAACATAGTCAAGATAAATAACATGCGTTATTGACTGTCATAGCAAAATGATTGTATTTCAATAAGCATATACGTTCCGTGTCTAGAAATCATTTGAATGTTAATGTATACTGTTTGTCATGTTTCTTACCTAAATTGGGTGTCAGTGTGAGTTTGGATAAACTGAAGAGTTACATTCACACCATTTATTCTAGATAAATTACTTATAGAAAGAATTTACGATTAATATTATATCTAATGCATTCGAAAAGTATTGCTCTTTAGTCATTTTCTTTGTAACTGTAACTGATCAATTAACCGTTATGTTAAAATTGTCAAGTGTTTGTTTATTTGTTGATTTAGATCTAATTAAATTTTAGCTATATGAAAAACTATCGCATATACCTTTTTAGTTAGCAACATTTTCACAATTAAAATAACGTTACATTACAAAAATTTGACAAATTAAAAAATAAATACTGTTAGCGTCCATGATGGATCACTTGGACGCTAAACGATGATTAAGATGCGCCTTCTAGTCTAATTGGCTTAGGACAACTGCCCGGATAGCAGAAGGTATGGGTTCGAGTCCCATGAAGGTCATCTTTTTCATCGTTCTGTCACATAACATCAGTGCAGAGATGTCCATCGCGGCGCTGCCGCGCCGCTGCCGCTGCCGCTGCCGCTGCCGCGGTGGCGGTGGCGGCGCGGCAGCGGCAGGTTTTTAAAAAAAATCACCGCGGCAGCGGCGCGGTAGCGGCAGATTTTTTTAAAAGTCATCGCGGCAGCGGCGCGGTAGCGGCAGGTTTTTTAAAAAACCATCGCGGCAGCGGCGCGGCAGCGGCAGGATTTTTTTGGAGGACATTGAAAAACTGTATGAATTTAATAGAATTTCACGATTTACAAATGAAACGCCCTGATATTGAATAAATCTGATGGACTAGTACCCATATCTCTGGTCAAATATAGTCACAGCAGTGAAATTAGAAACACTTTTTTGAAAATCGTCGCGGCAGCGGCGCGGTAGCGGCACGTTTATTTTATAATTCATCGCGGCAGCGGCGCGGCAGCGTTTCTTTTATAAGTCATCGCGGTGCGGCAGCGTCGCGGCAACATTTTTTTATAAACCGCCGCGGCGCGGCAGCGGTGCGGCAGCTTTTTTTTTCTAAGGCCGCGGCGCGGCAGCGGCAGATTTTCAGCCGCGATGGACATCTCTGCATCAGTGACACTGCTTGTCTCTTTCGTTCTATACATATGGAGCTAACAATGGTGGAGAAGTTGGGCAAGCAGTACACCGTATATACAACTCCAGCACATGTTCGTACGTTCTCCTCTATGTGAAAGAATACATAGAAAAGCAAAAAGAACTGTGCAAAGGGGGAGGTGTTAGCGTCCATGATGGATCACTTGGACGCTAAACGATGATTAAGATGCGCCTTCTAGTCTAATTGGCTTAGGACAACTGCCCGGATAGCAGAAGGTATGGGTTCGAGTCCCATGAAGGTCATCTTTTTCATCGTTCTGTCACATAACATCAGTGACACTGCTTGTCTCTTTCGTTCTATACATATGGAGCTAACAAATACATTTACAAATACTCATGAAACAAAATATAAAAGTATATGGGTGATTTGCAATCTATTGGTAACATTTAAAAATAAGAAGAGGTCGGAAAGAAAGTTTTTAATCAATATGTTTAGTCTTTCTCATTTCATTACTGTATGTTAAAGGAGAATAGGAAAATATTTTTTCCGACTACCACTATGAATGCAATCGATATACAGAGGTTCTAAGAAATCGATATGATAGGTCTTGATGAGATGAATTCAATGAGACATGATGTTAAAAAATTGGCTTTTGACCTTTGTAGCATCTGTTGTTTGAGTACTATATGCGATCAAAAGTTGATGTTTTGCCTGATGATGAGTGTTCAATAGTGGATCAAAGCAAAGAAAAAGTATTCAAATTGAATAGCATGAAACAGAACTATTGTCAATGGATATTGCATATTGCAACGGTACCAATTGATTGTAAAGTACTCATTTTTTTTATCGAAGTTTAATTGTATCCGAATTTTACGTGCCTCATAAATGATATGTAAAGTATAGATATATGACGTTGTTAAGTTTTATGCATTCCCTATGGTAGTATAATAGCTGTCTTCTTGTAGAATTTAATATTCCAAAAATTTGAAATTGTACTACTTTTTTTTTTCATAAAAATACTTTGGAAAATCATTTTCCGATATTAACATAGAATAAATCATTGGTCTAAAAGAAAATGATTTGAGATCAAATACTCATCAAAGGAATAATAAAAATTACATATGTACAAGGCCAATTTTGTTTTACTATTTTTGACATAATGATTTGCAATGTTTTATGATTCGATTCGAATTCAGATTTCCCAAAGTCTTCATTATAGATGTAAAGCGACAACTACGACAAGGTTTTCTGTAGGCTAATTAGTATCCCAATAAAGTAATGTTGTACCGAAAACGACCTTATGTAAATAGGCAAATTTTCTGTTCCTTTCCTTTTTTTCAACGTTCTGTATAAAAATCAAAAACAAGTAGTTGGTTGCACAACGTGATGTTAATAATGTCAGAGCATTTTTGTTTTTGTCGTGTGGTTACAGCTATTTGTTAGTTAACAAAATATTGTGAAACTGAATTTATTCAAAAATGTTTCTCAATAGAATTTGATGAATAATTTTTATTTTTAGATGGCTGAAGTTTTTACTTTCGAAATGTTGCCTGACGAAATGATATTACAAGTGTGTAGATATCTTCGTGGATCTGATGTTTTGTATTCTTTTTTCAATCTCAATACTCGTCTTAACCATACAATAACAGATTACTGTCATTATATGAATCTAATAGGTATTCGTCATCATCAATTTGATCATGTTGTCTCTGAAATTTTACCATGCATTGGTTCTTATATTCGATCATTTATGCTTAATGGTAATTGGGAGACAATACTCTCTACTAAAGCATTAACTATTCTTTTTGCACCGTCAATTTCATTTATGTTTTCTAAACTTCAAAAACTAACATTAAAATTATTTAGTGGTGAAAGACTTTTAGCATTTCTTGACAATATGATAGATTTTTTGCAACTGGTCAAACTTGATATTCGATTTCTTAAAAAAGATGCTGATGATAAATTAATGACAAAGATCTTTGCTTCTAACAATGGACGACTTCAATCGATATCATTTGATGATGAGTCAATTGCTTTGAAACTATCCGAAGATGATGATAAAAATATGTTATTTCCAAATATTCAAGAACTTAGAATTAAATTAGAATTTATCAATATACTACCACGTCTTTTTAAAATCATACCCAACGTACAACGTTTACATGTATGTGTTGAAAAAACATTGGATGAAGAAGATCATAATCACTTATTCATTGATTTATCACCATTTATTTATTTAACTGATTTTCATTTACGTTTGGTCAAATCTTTAGGAATGTTCGACGACATAACTAATATATTAAGACAAATGCCATTTCTACAAAAATTAACACTTGATTTATGGACACGTGATGAACGTTTAATCAACGGAAAGAATCTAATTTCAATACTTCCTTCATCTCTCAAACAGTTTCATTTTCTCATACGATATTATATTTCAGAAACAAATTTTGAAATAGATCATGTACTTCCAACATGGCCAAAGCATATACCAATAAAATATTTTTTGGATGAAGATAATAATTGTGTAATACTGTATACTATACCTTGTTGCTTACGTTCAACTATTTTATCAGCAACAATAAGTAAAAACTTGCCATCTTCTTGGACACATATACAACAAGTTGAAGATTTACAAATCAACGATGTAACATCATTTAATGAAATACTTTTAATAGTGCAACATTTTCATCGACTTCAAAGACTCACAATTGATGTAAAAAACAAATTAGAAAATGGTAGGTATCAATATTTCTAATTGTTTAATAGGTATTTTTATATAGAGCAAATATTCTAAATAATTGCACTAGTCTACTAATTAATATAGGTGATAGATATTTATAATGAAATTGCTCAATAACAAAGAACTACAAAGATATAGAAAAGAGCGAATCTTTTTTTTTGTGATCGATTCATAATCATAATTTAGTTAGCTTTATTCATAAATGTAATTACTTATTTCACAGAAGACATAATCGAAAATATTCAACGAGAGTACTATAGATCAAACTAATTGTAGTATGTCAGAACATGAAACAAATCGAGATTTGAGAAGTTCTAAGTATGAAATAGTCTAGAAAAAACTCTTACCTTCAAAAGAAAGCTTGAAGAAATAAGCATATTTATTAAATCTAATACAAGATATAGAATAGTTCCATATGAAAATGTTTTTTTTTTGCATTATTTCTTAATTAAATTATCATAATATGCATATCTATTTGTAAATCTTATCACAATTAAATTTTAATATTATTTTTAAAAAATTTAATCTATCTGCTTTCTTTTTATATATAAAGTAACGACATCGGTTCCATCTATTCGTCTTTATTTACCTCGGCTTAAGAAACTTGAAATACATGGTGTATGTCAATTATTTCCTTTGCTTCAGGCAGCACCTAATCTCGAATTTTTAATCGTCCAATATGATTGTCTTAAGACTCTACTTGATGATGAACCAACATGCAATTTATTACGAAAACGAATTGTTCGTCTTGAAATTTTTCAAGGAGAAAATATTGATTCAGAAGAATTACAACGTATCGCTCATGTATTCAATAATCTTATTGAATTTATTTTAAATATGAAAGAATCAAAAATAGTTATTGATCTGATTATATTGACAGCACTTACACTTTGGAATAAGAAAGAACTATTTTCATTACATATCGGTGGCTCAATGTCAGATGAAGCAACTCAAAATCTTCAAAAGTGGCTTATCAATCATACAGATTTAACATTAGATCATTCTTTTGCAACCACATATGAAAGCAATTGGTTTTCATTATGGTGGTAGTTATAACATAACAGTAGTGCTTATTCAAATTAGGATTAATTCTATAATCATATATTATTACAGACTAAGGCATGATAATTTTTAATGTTAGAATTTATTTCAATTATAAAAGGTGATACAACATTTTTTGTGATTTTTGCTATCATGCATTGAACAAGAATTGTTTTAATGCTTTTTTTTTTCATATTTAGCCTATTGAATTTTGATCTTCTTAAAAAGAATAAAACATAATCATGTAGTATTAGATTTTTTTGAATTATTCATCTTTATTTCATATGTACTTTCACTTTTGACACAACGATTGATAGAAAATATGTATTTGTCGTGATATTGCATTCGTAAATTCGCTATCAAATTATCAATAGTCGATGTTATATACTAATTTGAATATTTTCGTTTGTAGTATCGATCCTCTATTCATCAATAATAGAAAATTGTGTTTTGCTTGAGCCTTTTTAATTATCAGTTATGTGCTAGTCTCTCTTTTGTTTACATTCATTACTCAAAAAATATTCTCAGACTTTATTACTTCAAGATTTCGAAGCAAAATTTAGTTTAAGAATTGAATTTCGATTACTTGCCACATCATGTAAATTTTGCTTATGAAACGGCTGATGATAATTTTGAAATATTACAAAGCTTCTTGCTTACGAATTAATGTATTTATTGACAATTGATAATTATGTACAATTAATCGATTTTAATTCTAATTTATTCGAAAATAATACCTGTAGAATATTTAATTTGTTCTTGTGATTTATACGAATAATCTCATTTATCTATACTCATTGAAAAAAGTAAACCAAAATCACATATAGTAAATATGACAAATAAATTAATGATTGACAATATTTTTTTTTTGTACAGATTCTTTTCCATTCGAAACGCTACTTCATCAACAGTAAAATATTTTCATAATTCAACTTGTATGAATATAATTAATCAATAGTCCAATGACAAGAAGAAAAACGATTGATGATAAATTCTTGATTATTACATAGTTCTTTTGATTTGTATTTTAATGTATTTGTTTCAACATTATGTTTTTTTCGAATATAAAAGTCAATATTACAGTTTTTTGTTATTGTTATGAATATGAATAGTCTTTTGAGAGAATTATGAATAGAACTCATCATGTCTGTAATGATTTCGATTCGATTAGTTGAACTTGTATTTCAAGATGACTTTCATTAAGTTTTTATATATTAAAAAAAAAAAACCTACCTCTATTTGTTTTTATTCATTAAGACTGAAAACAGTTCTAATGACAAATCTTGTTTATTGATTTAACAAGATTTTTTAATACGCTTTGTTGTTGATTGCTTTTACTGTTCTTATTTTAAAGATATTCGTTTACTTATAAAATGAATTTTTTTTAGTAAAACTAATTTCCATTCAATGTATTCAAGTGATTCTATTTCAAAGAATTAAAATATATGTTACATTGAATGTAAATTTTCATGAAGAAAATGTATCTTCCACTGACAAATTTTGGTATTGATGTGTATCACTTCTTTTATTGCTACATTATTTGATATTCAAAGTTGACTCATTCATTGATGTGTATAGTTGATTTGCTGATATGCATAGGCAAAAACGTTTGTATGAATTGATAGTCAACAATTACTTGTAAAAAGGAAGAAAAGAAATGACAACAGTGATTTGACGTAAAAGAAAAAACAAAAAGATTATAGGGTTGTTTTTCTTCGCAGTTCACTTTTTACTTAAATAAACTAATACTTCATGAAGTTTTTTCAGGTTCTCGGTAGTTACTCTTTTTGTTTGTGTTATGATTATTCTTTCTTTTTTGCACGAAAAATAGTGTCAATAGAAATGAAGCAAAATCTTAGAATAACAAAACAACACGAAAAATAGGATCCATTAAGAAAAAAGCGAGAAATCTATCATTTTCTTCGACTAGTATTCATTTCTATCAATTATTTGAAATCAACAACTTCTCATCATATCGATAGAAATGAACTGACAAGAGTCGCTAAACGATATCTGCATAAAAGATTATCTTTTTCGAGTCGTTTCTATGTTGTTCATGATTGGTTCTATACTTTCTGAGAATCATATGCAATAATAATGAGTCAATTATCAATAAACACAAGCGAATCACTTGTTTGATTTAGAATTCAGAATACGAATTTATTTCTTGATTTGTAGGCTTGGCAATGGAAAAAAAAAACTTGTTTAATTAGCATAATGACTGTAATGCATTACACTTTTGACATTGTGTTCTGAGTGATATAGCTCGAAGTATCAACTTGAGTCTCGTTACTTATTAAGTTAATGTACGATAAATTTCTAAATTGTTATTATATTCTCATTTTTATCTTCATTAAAAGTGAATAGTTTTATGAATTTAAAGTGTTTTCACATGTCAGGTACCGACTGCTGTTGAACAGTGATCAAAAAAATAGAAACAATGGTACATGATACTGTGTTGCAATTGAATGAGATATCATGTAAACAATGAAACTCTGACAACACCATCGGTTGAAGTGTTACAAAGTAGACGAGGAAGAGTAAAACATATGAAATAAGAACAAGACAAGTGTGTTTATTTCATGGATTTTTTTTCATCTCTCTACTCATTTTAATAAAGCCTGAAATTTTCAATTTCTCAATGATAGAAATCAGATTTTTTTTCAGTTTTAAAATGATTTTTTGCGTTGCTCACTCCATATAAATATAGCTTTATCTTTTCAATTTCAGTAATACATAAAAAAAATACTACAACAAGTAAGTGAAGACATCATAGTTACATCTGCTGCTGGCAAAGTTTAAAAAAAATAATATACTGATAAATATTGATGAGTTTCGTTTAGATTTTGTTTTCAAAAATCTTCAAACTTTTATTTCCTAGACTAGAATTGTGTAGTGATATTCCGTCCCACATCTACTCGATTTTCCAATCTTATGCACGGTTAGAGTTAATGTAGTATCGAGTATAAAAATTGAACCTTCCTAGCACAAAAATCTATCTGAAATTATGCTATTTAATAAAATCTTAATGTTTATGTTTTCGATTACAATTGAATTGTGACGCAGGTACGGCATTATTACGTCATAATTGCTAAAAACAGAACTAACATGAGCAATTCCTGCTGCATATTAAGTTTATTTTTATGGCGAATTTTTTTTTTGCTTTTTACTCTAGACGTGGAAAGAAAAACAAGTTTTGTCAATTTTTTTGCATCGTCAAAAACATAAGACACATGGAACTACATATCGTGTCATACATGAGAGAGACATGACATCAACGCATTGATGTTTTTTTTTGGAATTCAAACATTCTAGTGAAACTATAAAACATATTTATTCATTGTAGGGTCGGGTTCTTATCAAAATATGTCAACAAATCCTTATGATATCAGTAGTACTATATATGCGATTAATGTACCAAATCTTTCACTAAAAGAATTGGATAATCGAATTGTGCATTGCTCAAATACAGATGTGCCGATCTTACTGCAAGAAGATCCGTCTCCTGACAAAATTTTGGTATTTCGCATCGATCAACTGCCAAGCGTTCAACGATTATTCTCAGATAATTCTATTCGTCGAGCTTTTTCTTTAAACAATGGAGAAGACGGGCACACATCATACAGTCATCTTGAAGATAGAATTCAAGTTGTCAATAATGAAAGAGAACTGATGCTTTCTTTATGTATAGAAAGTATGCTTTCTTTTATTGATGAGGCCTCTAAACATGAAAAAACAGACGACAGGAGTCTCGCCAATCGGTGCTACTGGCAGGCACTTCGTTTTTTGGATTTCGCTGATCATTATGTATAGTCTCAATACTTCGTGATCAGGTAGTATCATTAATAGAAAAATTTTTTGTACATTTCTCAATCATTTTTGCAGTGTAAATTTTTTTTGCTGAATAAAACGTATTTGTACGTTATTGTATAATTTTTTACTTTGTAATAAACTGGAATAGAATTCAAACATGTGACGAAGAATATTAATCGTATTACTCGGCATAATAACACCTTGTCTGTATCAGATCACCTCGTTTTCCGTTCGAATGTTCTGGATCAAGTTGACATTGATTTTTTCAAAAAAAGACGTTTTTAGAACTATAGAATGTCAGAGTTTATAATGTTCATTACAAACTATCAAAGTAATAATGGATCATAACATGACAAACGGATCAATACTGTGATGAATCAAGGATAACATGACATAAGAGCAAGTCATATTAGAGTTATCGTTATCAAACAACTTCATATTATTATAAAATACAAATGAAATCATGTTGTCGAGACAGACATAGTAGTTTCTTTGCAAGAATTTAAAAAATATAACAGTACCTATTATCCAGAGAACTTTTGTCTTCTACCAAAAGATGTTCGATGACAACTAATATCTGCATTTAAAAAATAGATAATTTTTTTCATGTCAGATTAAAAAACGTCGCCCTCAATTATGTCAATTTTCTGATATATGATAAATTTCATGCAAAATGAGACATATTCACCTTTCACTTGACTTCAATTCTTTACAAAGATTATTGCTTTGAATAAGTTCTCTTAGCGTAAATTTATGTCAAAACATTAGCTCTATCAAATGACACTTAATTATAATTAATTAATTAAAAATTAATTAGCGAATATGTATCTAACAATATGAGAAAACATTCAAAAACTCCATGACAGACTTTGTTGTTCGAACTATATCGATGATGAAATTTTCAGCTAGACACTACTTCAAAACGTTTCTTTTTAACAAATCGTTTTATAGAGACCTTATCAAGTTTCAAAATAAAAGTTTTAGTCTTATCATTTTCTAAAAATTCTGAAGAAAGATTTTTACCATTTAGAATTGATTTTGAACCTATCATTTAGTTATAAGAGTTTTTGTTGGATTGATTATTCATACTCCGTCACTTTAGTCGATGCCCATTTAAAGTTGGGTCACTCATGGTAGTTTTGCAGTGACAACTCTTTTTAACAAGTTACTAGAGCTGATTTTTCTTTTATAAAAAT